AAAACCCCGCCACTCTATGCGCGATGCTGTTCTGGACTGCGTTCAGCCTGGCTTTGAGTTTGCGGCTGGCACTGGCGCGGAGCGGCGTAGAGCACAGTAAGTGTGGTGGAACCCGGATTCCAATTCCTGACAGCCCATCGACTGCTGCCCACGCGGGTCATGACTGTCCAGGTGCAGCGGCGGGACGAGTGGGCGGGAAGGCGGGGGAAGCGGGTGGGGCGCACCGCAGCACCTTAGCCACCTGCGGTGGGCGCCCCCAGGCACTCAGTGACTTAACTGAGTCAACGCTGCACATCCAGCGCGGAGGCCAAGGTCTGCCCCTCCCCGCTCCGCCCCGCCCCGCCCCTCAGGCCTGGATAGTGGAGAAAGATGTTTGAGAGGCCTCACTGCCTCAGTTTCCTTACCTTTGAAAGGTCCCTCAGTAAAAAGGAGGTAAGAGTATTGGGATGGCCCCCACAATGAAGGGGAAGTCCAAAGCCAGGACTAGAATTCAGGTACCCTGAGAACCCCTGCCTATTTGAGATTTGGTGATGAAAGGTCTCATCAGTACTGATCAGTATCCTCAGGGCTGGGAGAAAAGGGGACAAAAGGAGAGGCCCAAATGGTTGGGCCCCCAGGCTGTTTTGGGTGGTTATATCCTGCTTTCTTGGTACAAATGAAGCTGAGAATGGGGGCCAGAGGAGGGGAGGGGTGATGTCATCTTGCCATTCCTGCTTGACCATATGATGAGTGGGAAGGGCTATACAGTGTTTTGTCTTCCCCATCCCTTCACTTTTGCTCCCCCATCCTCCCCTGTTGTCTCCGTTGCTGTGCATGCTCAGAGCCCATTGCTTCTCCTGGAAACTGAGCTACCTAGCTTAACTACATCCTGGAGGTGGCCCTTCTGAAAATCAAGTCTAAGAAGAGTAGCGCATGACCTAGGCCTGAACCCTAGGCTCCACCTGCATGCAGTGTCGATTGAGAAAAGTGTCAGCACTCATATAAGGAACAAGAGGGCAGCCCATGGTGCCCTAGGTGCATGGGCATTGTATAGTCAGGAACCATTGGAGAGTATGGGCCTTTTGTTGGCTTATAACCCCATTCTGGGCATAGTACTACCAGTATCTTTGGGCAACGGCAAGCATATGCTTAAGGAAGTTCAGGCCTTTGGGGGTGGTTCTGCCCTGGTCATGTGGCTGTCTGGGGGCCTACCACCTGGACTGAACCCCTTGTCTTTTCTTCTAGGTGCCACAGCATCAGCCCCCCAGGGGGACCTATTGTTCCTGCTGGACAGCTCAGCCAGTGTGTCACACTATGAATTCTCAAGGGTTCGGGAATTTGTGGGGCAGCTGGTGTCTACAATGCCTTTTGGCCCTGGGGCTGTGCGTGCTAGCCTGGTGCATGTGGGCAGTCGGCCATACACGGAGTTTACTTTTAACCAATACAGTTCAGGCCAGGCTGTACACGATGCCATCCATGTTGCATCCCAACGTATGGGTGACACCAATACAGGCTTGGCACTGCTTTATGCCAAAGAGCAATTGTTTGCTGAAGTAGCAGGTGCCCGGTTAGGGGTTCCCAAGGTACTGGTGTGGGTGACAGATGGGGGCTCCAGTGACCCCGTGGGCCCCCCTATGCAGGAGCTCAAGGACCTGGGTGTTACTGTCTTCATTGTCAGCACTGGCCGAGGCAACCTGTTGGAGCTGTCGGCAGCTGCCTCAGCTCCTGCTGAGAAGCACCTACACTTTGTGGATGTGGATGACCTTCATATCATTGCCCCAGAACTTCGAGACTCCATTACTGGTAAGTGGGAAGAGCCAGGGCCTGTGAATACCTAGCTGACAGCTTGCTGCAGGGGGAGGGTCTGGGTTGAGACTTCAGAGGAAGCTCATGAGCCTGATGCCCTTGTGGATGCAACAGTGGGGAGGTGACCCCCATGTTCTCTGCATACTGTCCAGGAACATACTCCTTCTGGGTGCCTTCATGTACCCCAACACTTGGGCTATAAAGAGATTATGACAGGCCTGAGTGAACCACTTCAAGATAGGACTCCCTGGCATGTATAGGTCAATGAACCGAGGGCTACTTTGGGTGGGGTGTGTATGGAAGGGCTTAGTACGGATAAAGGAGGTCCAAGGCTCCCCCATGGGTCTCTGTCAGTGGCATCATGTGTCCTTGTGTGTGTCCAGGGAACAAATGGCTTGCCAGACCCACCATTCCTGGAGAAAAGAGAGCGAAGTATGTCAGGATTTGTCTCCTACAGAGTTCAGGCCATACCTATCCCATGGTAGGGAGCCATAGTCGGGAAGGGGTTTGAGTTGATTCTCTTTCACTTGGGTCCATTGTGGGGACGGCTGGGGAAGCCAGGACAGGGAAGACACTGTAGGAGCTTAGCTCTGGCTTTCTTCTGGACCTTCTATAGCTGATCTCCCAAAGAGAAGGGGCTAGAGACTAAGGGCCTGTTGGTTGGCTTAGCCTGTGGTAGTCACTGAAAAATGCTATCACTCCAGGGTAGCATTCTTACCAAGTCTCTTACTGTGGGTTAATCATCTACACTAGACAGGAAGGGTTTGGTCTGTTGGTTGGAAAGGGTGAAAGGCCTGGCCCAAGAGATTCCTCAGGGACATCAGCTGGTAGTTCCTGAGCCAATAGGTCCAGATGAACCTGTAGGAGGCAGAAGTAGAAAAGGCTGTCATCGGAGATAAATATTAGGGTGGGACACTTGTAACCAACATCAGAATCTGAGTGGGGAGCCTGGGAAGGGAAGTGAGTGCCCAGCTGACCAAACTTAGCACCCAGCATCACCAAGGAAGAAAGCCATGATCTTGATGGGCCTACCCAGCCTTACCTGCATATGGATCAGATGGCTCACCATATGTTTGTTGTCATAATAATTCCAGGAGCCCATTCTGGAGTTCCCCCTTCCACTGTCTTGTATAGGAAGGTTCCACCCTCTCCCTAATCAGTAGGTCTAGCTGCTCCTGGGGTTATCACACTTCCAGTGTTCCAGGGGCCACTAACCTGTAGTCTCTTATCTTCTGGCTGCAGCCTCTGGTCTGTTTCCCTCCTTCACAACTGTTCAAATATAGCTCACAACAGATTTTGTGCTGACCACTCAGTCTTAGGGGACTGGTCCTCTGTTCTTAGATAATACTGTGGACCCTGCCACCTTTGAGGGACCTTCATTAGGGTTGTTTTTCTGTGAGGAGCAGACACTATACCTTACAGGTCTGGGTTTGAGGACGAAGTAGGCAGGAAAGTTTATGATGGGGCCCAGAGTTGGGGACTGTACTATTGTCCTTCCACCAGCCCAGTCAGACCTGTAGTCAAGCCCTGTCCCACCTGTGGTCATTAGCACCTATTGGTAATGAACACCCACTTGGCTCCTGCCTCTCCTTGGCAGAAAGCCTCACTGGTATTACGGGGTCTTCAATCTTCGGATTGAAGATTGCCCCACTCTGTGACACGGAGAAGTTCACTTCTGTGTCCCTGACCTCAGCACTGCATCATCCTTAGATGCGATGCAGCCACAGCAGCTTCGTGCTTTGGAGGTTCTATCCAATGGCTTCCGCCTGTCCTGGCCGCCCCTGCTAACAGTGGACTCTGGTTACTACGTGCTGGAGCTGGTGCCCAGTGACAAGCTCGTAGCCAAAAGACGCCAGCAGCTGCCAGGGAATGCCACCAGCTGGATCTGGACCGACCTCAACCCGGACACAGATTATGAAGTAACGCTGCTGCCAGAGTCCAACGAGCGCCTCCTGAGTCCCCAGCACGTGCGAGTACGCACGCTGCAAGGTGAAGCAGGGGGTACCTCATGGGAGGGCAGGGTGGTATACGAGGGGCGCCCCTCCAATCAACCATCCTTTTCCTCAGCAGAGGAGGCCGGGCCGGAACGCATCATCATCTCGCATAGCAGGCCGCGCAGCCTCCGCATAAGTTGGGCTCCTGCGCTTGGCCCGGACTCCACTCTCGGCTACCATATACAGCTCGGGCCTTTGCAGGGCGGCTCCCTGCGGCGCGTGGAGCTGCCCGCGGGCTGCAACAGCACCACCATCCAAGGCCTGACGCCTGGCACTGCTTACCTGGTGACTGTGACTGCCGCCTTCCGCTCTGGCCGCGAGAGGGCGCTATCGGCTAAGGCCTGTACGGCTTCGGGCGAGCGGACCCGGGACCCGCAGTCAGTGCGGCCGGAGGCCAGACCGCCAGAGCCGTGAACTGCCTGCCCCGCCCACCCGAGGGTCCCTCTTTCCCTAGCTCAGTGAGGGAGGCTGCCGAACCGAGGTTTTTCTCGGGGTTGGGAGGGGTTAGGGGGGTTGGGAGATAGGGTGCGGGTCCTGCCTTTGACCCACGTGACTCCTCCAGCGGTTTCCCTACTGGGCATGCTGGGCACCGTCCTTGCCTTGACTCCCAGGAACCCAATGGCCACCCTGGTAGCCGCACGCGCAATGGCAGTCCTCTCGGTTGCCAATGGAGTTGAGCGTACAGTGATCTTTGAGCAGCATTTGGCGGGGGAGATGGACAGTGTCTGAGGGCAGATTGAGGACATAAGACCCAGGGCAAGCAAGCATTTAGGAGAGGAGGCCACAGGGTCTCCTACCTGTGGCAAAGGCCGGGCCCTCTGGTAACGAGGACTTGGAGGGAGTTCCCGGGACCATTCAGGTCCCGCTTGTGCGTGGAAAGTGGGTGAGGGAACGGGAGGAGAAGCTGGTGCAGGCAGGATTCCCAAAGGCTTCCTGAGGGAAGGAAGGTTAGGGAGGGGTATTGGGAGAATGATGATGTTGCCAAGTAGCTTTCATCAGGATCCTCCGCCAGCCCAGAGGTCAGTACTAGTCCTGGAAACTGGCCCTGCCTTCCTGCCCAGGACCTGCACTAGGCGGCGCTATCAGTGCCCTTTTCCAGGAATGGGATGAGACCTTAGTGTTTAGGACCTTGGGGATAGGACACCCTGTGATGACAGGCTCTAAGGGAGACTTCTGTTCTAGTGTAGGAAGGAAGCTTCATAGGGGACAGGAACAAACAACATTCCCCCTGGGAAAGTTCACTTCAAGGACTCTGCAACATCGAACCCCAAGGTGTCGTGCTGGCCAGGCTACCACCTCCTGTCATCACCTACTACCCTGGGGTTTCCGACGGATAGCTAAGGGTGGTCAGAAACAGGCTTCCCCTCAAGTCCCTATTCAGGGAGAGCCTCTCCTCCCAGAATCACTTGCCCCAACCCAAGCTCACTTTATCTCTCTTCCCCACTAACGACCTAAACTCTAAAATACAGTCAAGTCAGTTATAAACTGTGCCTGTAGTCTCATTAAAATGTTTTATTTTTCCAGTCAGGTGGTGGTGGTGGTAGTGCATGCCTTTACTCTCAGCATGCAGGAGGCAGAAGCAGGTGGGTCTCTGAGTTCGAGGCCAACCTGATCTACAGAGTGAGTTCCCGGACAGCTAGGGCTACACAGAGAAACCCTACTTGAAAAGAAAAAAAATTTTATTTTTTCACCAAAACTCTCCCCAACTCTGTACATACGTGGGCAGCATGAAAGGTTGGCTGTACAGGGCTTGTTGTGTCTGGGGAGGGAGGCAATTCTGCAGCATCTGTACTCTTATCTCTCAGCCTGCTCTCCACCTGTGTTCCTTGTCATCTGTGTGCCAGGGCAACACTTCTGCAGTAGTTCAAGTTGCTGCTTTTACAACTCAGAGTTCAGGAGGCCTGGCTTTACAGGGCCATCCCCATCACAGCCTGTGGCCTACTGCCCACCGCCCAGCCCTCTGCTTACATATCCTCCTTGCAGTAGTATCCTCTTTGCGCTACTTTGGCTACTCTAGTGAGTCCCAGGAACTAAAAGTATTGAGAGAGGTTGGGTGGACTTTGGGGCCCTGCACTGTGTCTGAGCCTAGCAGGGGTGGGTTTCCTGAGAACTTGCTTAATGGTTCCCCAAGAACCTGAGGGAGCATTGTAGGGTTCACCCTGACACCCAAAGGAGTACTGCCCACATACTGAATGTGTTATGCCTTTGTGATGGTAGCTTGGGATACAGAGCCCTAGACTGCTGGTGGTCGGGGCATGGGTCCCCTCTCCATGCGTCCCTGTTAGGCACAGGAAGCCTGCAAGTGCACCTACAGGCTTCCAGCCATCATCCTTACCTATTGATCAATAGTTGGCCAAGAGCTAAGAGATTTCTTCTGGCCTCGGTTACTGGTCCAGGGTCTGAAGCTATCTGGATTCAGGACAAAGGATTTAGGTTTGGCACATGGGCCCCGTCACCCCCTAAAACACAGACATTTCTCCAAGCCATTTGTGTTCTCTCAGATGATTGTAGGTCAGGGCCTGTTGGCCACTGGAGGAGAGAGCAGTTACCCTTCCACACTGAGTCCCCAAGCCTGGTTTGCACAACACTAACTAGGTGGCAGAAGAATACCAGAGGGTCATTTCTTAGTGCTTATGGTAACTTCCATTGATAGCTAAAACTCATGAGAATCCAAGTGACAGAGCTCACTCAAAATTTACCTACTCAACTGAGAAAGTAGAATGGGCAGGAGACATGTATCTGATAGCCAGAGTCCACAAATCCTTGGTATAAGCTCATCTTGGCCTAATGCCAGCACTACCTATTTTCAGGTGGTAGAGGTGAGTGCCTGTACTCCCACTTATGGATCATAGGATACCTCCACAAGGGTCTTCATCTCAGGGGGCTGCCCTTGCATTGTTCTAGGCATGTCTTTTTTTTTAAAGATTCTATTTTTATTTATTATGTATACAACATTCTGCTTCCATATATATCTGCACACCAGAAGAAGGCACCAGATCTCATAACGATGGTTGTGAGCCACCATGTGGTTGCTGGGAATTGAACTCAGGACCTCTGGAAGAGCAGTCAGTGCTCTTAACTGACTGAGCCATCTCTCCAGCCCCTCTAGGCATGTCTTAAGTGTCTGAATTTAGTATACGTTTAAGATTAGTGCAGACCCAGAGGACGTCTATAGGAAGTAGATTTTTAAGTTTATCATTGTGCAAGTGTATGACATGTGTGTGTGTGGGGGGGCTGCAAACCTGCCGTGGTCCACACATAGAGGTCAGAGACAACTTTACGGAGTTGGTTCTCATCTACTTCTGTATTTTTTATTTTTATTTTTATTTTTTATTTTTTTGAGACAGGGTTTCTCTGTGGCTTTGGAGGCTGTCCTGGAACTAGCTCTTGTAGACCAGGCTGGTCTCAAACTCACAGAGATCCACCTGCCTCTGCCTCTCGAGTGCTGGGATTAAAGGTGTGCACCAACACCACCCAGCGCATTCCATGTTTTTAAAGTTAAAAAAACAAGGAGCTGGAGAGATGAGTCCAAGCTCATAAATGACTTAAGATTACCAAATATGGCTCCCAGCACCTACACTGGGCAGCTCACAATCACCTGTATGTAATCAAGCTCCTGTGAAATCAAAAGTCTCTTCCCTCATCAGTGCATTCATACACACATACACATTATTAGAAATGAAATAAATGTGGGGCTGGAGAAATGGCTCAGCAGTTAGAATCACTTGCTCTTCTTGTCAAGTACCTGGGTTCAGTTCCTAGCACTGTCAGGTAGCTCACAACTACTTGTAACTCCCATTACACAAGATCTGACACCCTCTTCTGACCTCCTTGGTACCTCTTTGCACACAGTACATACACACACCCATATACACATAAAATAAATGTGTAGCTCTGTCTCTCTGTCTCTTTCTATCCCTCTTACTTCCTTACCTTCCATGAATAAACCTTCCACCAAGCCGGGCGGTGGTGGCACACGCATTTAATCCCAGTACTCGGGAGGCAGAGGCAGGCGGATCTCTGAGTTCAAGGCCAGCCTGGTTTACAGAATGAGTGCCAGATAGGCTCCAAAGCTACACACAAAAAACACCCAAGCCAAAACAACAAGGAAAAAAAACTTCCACCAATAAACTTTCCATATAAGTCATGTCAAAAAATGTGTAAAATAAAAATGAGACAAATATTTTGTTTTTAAAATTTATTATTTATTTTTGAGATAGGGTCTCTCTATGTAGTCCTGGCTGTCCTGAAGCTCAAAACATAGACCAGCCTGACCTCGAACTTCTAGAGTTCCACCTACTTGTAACAGTGCTGGGATTAAAGGCAAATATCACCAAGACTAGCTTACGACCATTTTTTTTCCCAAAGATACTATATATAGTGTTCTGTTGCAGGCCAGAAGAGGGCACCAGATCTTATTACAGATGGTTGTCAACCACTATGTGATTGCTGGAAAAGCAGTCAGTGCTCCTAACCTCTGAGCCATCTTTCCAGCCTTGTTTTTGTTTTTGAAGATAAGGTTTCTCTGTATAGTCCTGGATGTCCTTGAACTCACTCTGTAGATCAGGCTGGCCTCAAACTCAGACATCTACCTGCTTCTACCTCCCCAGAGCTAGAATTAAAGGCGTGAGCCACCATGCCAGGCTTAAAAACAATTTTTAACACAGAAAGAGAGACAGAGACACCCAGAGAGAGACACACACAGACCCAGACACACACACACACACACACAGAGAGAGACACACACAGACACAGACACAGACACACACACACACACACACACACACACACACACACACACACACACACAAAGAGAGAGACAGACGACAGACAGACAGACAGAGGCAGGCAGACCTTGGAGTTGGAGGTCAGCCTGGTCTACGGAGCGAGTTCCAGGACAGCCAGGGCTACAGAGAGAAACCCTATCTCAAAAAACAAAAAGGAGAGAGAGTGAGCCAATTAATGTCATATTTTCCCTTGGACTGGAGTGTGGTGAGGTAGGGGTACCAGATAGAACCCAAGCTAGGGGACTGTCCCACCTTTTAGGTGGGAGCAGGACCCATTTGAGACAAGGTATTGTGGGAGGTGTGAAGTTTCTGGGCAGGAGTAGGGCAAGAATAATTATCACGTGCTCCTATCACAAAAACCAGTTAGCTCATTGCAATTAAATATGGTCTTGCAACCAAAGAGCTTTTTAAAGAAGTAGCTGTCAGGGGCTGGAGAGATGGCTCAGTGGTTAAGAGCACTTGCTGCTCTTGTAGAGGACCTGAATTCAGTTCCTAGTATTCACACCAGGCAGCTTACAACCATCTCTAACTCTAGCCTGGAGGATACACCTCTAGCATCAATGGGAACCTTTACTCACATGCACACACCCCTACACATAACTAAATTAAGAAAAATAAATCTTAAAAGAGATCTTCATCCAAATTAAAATAATTTTAAAAAGAAGTCCCCGTCCCATGTGTTGTTCCCAATCCACCCCAGCAGGTGGCAGCAGCTCCTTAACTGCAAGTGTGCAATGCACAGTACTGAGCCATGAGCTGCTCCATGTTTCCAAGGCCTGGGACTTCACCTCCTACTCTCAGATCAACCACATTGGCCACAAAGGCTCCTGAGCTCCTCATAGACAATTCCTAAGGGGCCCACCCACAGCACCTCCTGGAACATTCAAGGACACAAAGACATACTGGTGGCCGAGGACTTGAAAAGGTAGAGAGCACCCGAGTGCCAGGATCAAGGCCACTCATGGTGACTCTGGGAATATGTACATCAATGGAGTTACCTTTGGGGTCTCTGTGGGGACTCTCAGCTAGGTAGTCTGCAGGTCCACCTGATCAAGGTCTGATTTGAGATCACCATGAGCTGGTAACTATTTACTTCAACACAATTCTCAAGTAGGAATATGAGCTACTTCAGCTAATAAGAAAGCTTGGGTTCAGTCCTAAGCCATTACTATCCTGGGCCATCATCACAAATCTGTCATCTCTCTGAAACATTGCATCTGTAAGACTGGAATTCCTAGCAGGCTGGGGTCCCATTCTGAAAGACCAGTCTGGGTAGGATTTTTTAATCTACTGGGTTAGGGTCTGCCTTGGAATGGCAGGAGCAGGACACACATGCTGGCAAGGGGTAGAAGCAGGCCTGTGATGAGCTGTGGTGATAGGAACTAGAGGATCCTTTTGGAAGCTGCTTAAGAAGAAAGCATGGGGGGATTGGCCCTCATTGGCAAACAACAGAGTATCATCAGCAGAGAACATTTGTCAATGAAAATGATAGCAGTAGACAGAAAACACTGTCATGATTCTATGCTCTTTCATTTACTTAAGTGTTTTTAGGGTGTTTCTGTTGTAAGTTTATTAAACATAAGTGGTGCGGCATTCTCTACACTCCATGTAAGGTGTAGAGTCAGCTGCACAGAGGAACAGGCTGTAACTCTGCCCTGTTAGTGTCCACCAACCAACCTCCCTGCTGTCTGAGACAGGGTCTTGCTATGCAACCCAGATTTGTCTAATATCCAGATCTCTGCCTCAGTCTCCCCAGTGTGGAGATTACAGGAATTTCCACCACCAAGCTCAATTTCTCTGAAGCAATTACAAAAGTCTTTATTTATTTATTTATTTATTTATTTTTTGGTTTTTCGAGACAGTGTTTCTCTGTGGCTTTGGAGGCTATCCTGGAACTAGCTCTTGTAGACCAGGCTGGTTTTAAACTCACAGACATCTGTCTGCCTCTGCCTCCCCAGTGCTGGGATTAAAGGCTTGCGCCACGAATGCTTGGCAATTACCAAAGTCTTAAGACAATAATCGACTGGTTTTCTTTTTTCCTTTTTAAAGATTTTATTTATTCATTATGTATACAGTCTTCTGCCTGCATGCCAGCAGAGGGCACCAGATCTCATCCAAGGTGGTTGTGAGCCACCATGTGGTTGCGGGAATTGAACTCAGGACCTCTGGAAGAACAGTCAGTGCTCTTAACCGCTGAGCCATCACTCCAGCCCCTCGACTGTTTTTCTTACCTCTCTTCTCCCCTTCCTTCTCTTGCCGTATTGCTCAGGCTTATCTGACTCCCGGGCTCAAGTGATTGATCTTCCTACCTGCCTCAGCCTAACAGTTTAAAAATATATTTAATTTTAACAGTGTGTGTGTCCATGTCCTGTGTGGGTTTCTACTTGTACCTGAGAGTGGAGAGGCTTTAGATCCCCTAGAGCTGAAGTTACAGGGAGTAGTGAGATACCCAAAGTTGCTGCTGGGAATAAAAGTTGAG